TAAAATTAATCTTGAAGTTGACGAAAAAGGTAATGGAGAGTAGCTGACCGTTTAAGCAGGGACCCATGTAAGCTCTTTTGAAGGTCTTGCTCGTCAACCACGTCAATCCCTTCAACTTCACAGTTCTCACAAATTTTCAAACTCTTCAAATACACACCAAACCACAATTACTGCCCCCCCTCTCTTCGCACTCTGCATCTTCTAGCTATGGCTTCTCCTGATACCATTGCTTTCCTCTCAGTCCTCCTACTTTTCCATCCCACCACAACTCTGAGCGACTTTTTGTCCCCTATTTCCTCTTCATTTTTCGGTTCGTCGCTTCTCGATTGCCCTTCTCTTGCTTTTGGTTTATGAGCTTAAAAAATTCGATTTTGCCAGATGGGTTTTTGATTTTATGTCTTTTTAGCAACTGAGTATTTTTTTTTTTTTTTTCTGTTGCTGGGATTTGGTGAATCGCTATTGATTTTTGTTGTCATGGGTTGTGACTTGCAGATGAAGTGTGCAAAGAAGTGGAATGTGGAAAGGGAAAATGCAAGCAGTCTCAGAATGGGACCTTTTATGAGTGCGAATGCGATCCTGGGTGGAAACGTACTCTTGCTAATGATGATCATGATGATGATGTCAACAAGTTTCTGCCTTGCGTGATCCCCAACTGTAAGCTCCGACAATGAGAAAATAGAGACTTTCAATCTCAAATTTCATTTTTAACTACGTACTTACTAATTTTTTTCTGGGATGATCTGGAAACGATCAAATATGATGACATCTTGTATATTTCGTGATTGTGGCAGTTATTTGTTGAGGGAATGTTTGTGCTTTGGTAGCATTGATTAGGTAAAAGTGTGCTTGGCTGTTGTGTGAGTTTAATTATATTTAACCGACGGTTCGATTGACCGAGGGTTTATAAGCAATCGATTTCTCATGTAGGTTGGTTTGATGATCTAATTTTCTTTCCTATTTTTTCCCCACTTCTTTTAGTGGCTAAAAGTTGTTTTTTTTTTAAAAAATAAATAAATAAATAAATAAAGGACTAGATTCTTCCTTATCTAAGGAGTCATATGATAGATTTGGACCTGGTTGTTAAGGTAATCAAAACAATTAATGTTCTCCACAAGAAGTAGATGATAAATATTTTAATATAAATTGGCAATGCATGTTAATCACCTCCCAATCCATCCGGGGTCCTCATAGTTATCCATCAGGCTTTCTTAAACAGCATGCATCATCACCTGCGAAGATAGAGTTTCACTATAATTTTTCTTTGTTTAAGTATCATGCCTGAGTCATAGATTGAAAATTTTCATCTTTCTTTTGACTGTAAATGGATTGTTGGTCATAGATATGATTGATTTAGACTTTTAATTGTAACTAAGAAAACAGTTAACTGACCTCACAGTTTTCTGGTATATTAGTTAATAGTAGCAAACAGAATTCATATCTTGCATGATACTGATGGTTTGGCATCTTCAGGCACACTCAATCATGCTTGTTCAGCAGCTCCTGCGCCTGTCCAGGACAAAGCAACCAGAGTTAATACATCAATCTTTGATCGTAAGAACCTTACCATTAAGCTGTCTTCTTTGTAGTTTGATTCTTTTTCTTAATGCTGATGCATTGTGTAATGGTTTGTCAGCCTGCCACTGGACTGATTGTGGAAAGGGCTCATGCAACAAGACATCAACATTTGCTTACGAATGTGTTTGTCCTGAGGGTTTCTTTAATCTTCTCAATTTCTCTATCTTCCCATGTTTCCAAGAATGTAAGAACACACTCCTTTTACAACTGTGTGTCTGTGTTTATGGAAAGAAAGTCCTTCTTGCTGTAAAAAATGGAATTCTACCAGTCTAGATAGATAAATTTGGAAAGATTTATTATTAAGTGTTGCTTCAATTCATGATATTCATCATCAGAGGAAAAAAAAAAAAACGCTGTTGACCTGAGTTTTGGAATGCCAATTTAGGTTCCATTGGATTGGATTGTGCAAACCTTGGCATCTCGATGTCAAATAAGTCCATAGCACCAGATCCAGCGGGAGCTGACAATAGCAATAACCGAGGTGAGGTTTGCTCTACAAACTCTCTATAGGACCATGCCCTTCTTTCTGTACATTGAAATGGAAACATTATTATCTGTTCAACCATGTTTCACTTTAGCAATTTGTTATCATTGTTTCTTGGTGCTTTCTTCAAAATCTATCTTCTTAAAACCTAAAAATTTTTTATCACCTTGCAAATTTGCTCTGTTACCCCACAATGACCAACTTAATGTAATATGTTTTCTCAGTTTCAATCGAATTAAGTATTACTTGTTCTTCCCACTAAATTAATACATCATGCATCTAGTGCTGTTTTAGTTTATTAAACCTTGATGATTCTGTGTTTGGCAGCTGGCTTGCATCTACTCAGAGATTATAATTGGTTGATAATCCTGCTCGCGTCCCTTGTCATGGTTTATTGACAATCATTCAGATGGATAATGCAGTATTGAGTTTGCTTTAGTGGTGGTGGTGCTGTTCAATACTTGTGTGTCGCCAACTCTTGCTATTTGCCAGAGTAGTTGTCATGTGAATAAATTATTTAGTGCTACCTCAGGTCCAATTTATGTATTTTTAGGTGATGTTTTTTTATAGTATTTAAATGATAATTTGAGAAAAAAAAATTCTAATAAATAATTTTTATTAAGTAGTTTCATTTTATTAAAAAAAAAATTCAATTTTTATTTATATGATATAAAAAAACATTGCCTAAAAGTACTTGTAGTGACACTAAATTTGACCTGAGGTAGTATTTAATTTTTTTGCATCATATGAATATGTATCTTTTTCCTGTTGATATATGGTGGTTATATATAATGGGGGAACATACGAGTATTTTATCTTAGTACATGCTTTTGTCTTCTTATTCTCTTTGCTTGAACTCTTGATTTAGCATTGCAAAAAAATTCCTAGATTAAGGTTTTGAAGTTAGTGAGTACATTACTCAATGAAGTTCTTAGCAACATTTATAAAAACTAACCCTATGTTGAGGTTGAGAGGAATGGAGGAGAGAACGAAAGGGAGAGGAGTGGAATTATATTTCTTCATTCCTCTTATTTTCTTTCATTTGAATTAGTAATTAAATTAAAAGAAAAAATAAAGTCCCCTTCTCTCTTTATCTAATTTTTTTTTATAATCAAATAGAGAATTTTTTAATTTCTTTTCCTTCTCTCCTCTATTCTCTTAAATCCAAACATATTATAAATTAATTGTTTCTTTTATTTTTTATTATTTGTTATTTGTTAAGGGCAGGTGGTATAAAAAAAAAAAACCATTAACAATTTGTTTGATTTGAAGGAAATGAGGGGAGGAGAGGTAGGTCTCTTTTGCATTCATTTCCATCATTTGAATATATCAAAATGGTTCTTTTAGCATATGTTTTAAGGGTATATATTAAGGATATTTTTTGGTCATTTAAAAAAAATATAAAAGTTAATATTAATTTTAGTATTATTGTAATAAATTTAATTAGATAATTAAAAATTAAAAAATTAATTTTTGTTTTCTCAATATAAATTTATGATAAAAAATATTTATTATATTTTTAAGGGTATAAGTCAAAAAAATCCTTATTAAAATTCACAAAAGAAATTAGATGAAGGAAGCGCTTCTCCTCCCCACTAAATTTTTTTAATCTAAGGGATCTTCTCCCCTTCCCTTCCCCCTCAAGTCAACATGTTTAAGTTCTAAAGGAAAATAAGTAGGTCAAAACATGTCTTTATCCCTTTATTTTATTTAGTTTCAAGTTTTTGAAACTATTTGGATTAGTTTTTTTTATATAGTTAATAATTAATAGTTGATATTTGATGATTGATAATCATTATTTATTTAAATTTTAAAATATTTAATCTATTTTATTAAAGTCAATAGTAGATAGTTATATTTAAAAAATCAAAACAAACACTCCTTTTATCCCATCATTTTATATTAGAGTTATTAACCCATGAACTTATAAAATTGAATATTTTAGGTCTTATACCAATAAAATTCAGTGACTTTATGTTTATATTAAAGTGAGAATAAAAAGCTTACTAGACTAGTTCTCAAATATTAAAAA